TCATGGCTCTTGACTCACGACCGGTTGAACCAAGCTTCCAACAAAGAGAGCACTGCGCATGCCAAGCTCCGCACTGTACGCAAAATGCAACGGATTGCCGGGCAGGGTCGCCCAACAAAAAGGCGACCATGCACACCCCCCAATCTCACAAACATTGGTGCACCATGCCTGCATCGCGGCCTGTCCGTGGCCATACATTGGAATAACATGCTCTTCTCTCTCTTCTTGCCCATGATTCCCTCAACTCTGATGCGCTTTACTTTAGGGGCCAGGGCGCCCAATTGCGGAAGTCTTCCCAGGCACCATGCACGATGCATTCCTTCAGCGAGACGGCACCCCGACTTTTGCACCTGGCAGATCGGATGAATGAGCTTGAGGTCCAAGCCAGGCAAGGGTCAACTGCGGTCGGGGTATGTTGCCCACAGCAAGCCGCCTCCTGTTGAACGTCGTAGAAAATCCTGTGACCTCGAAATTGGAATTCAAGCTGACAGACACGTCCTGGAAATTGGCCATCTGGTGCCTCAGATTCAATCCAGTGAAGAGTGCAAACAGCACGTGCCGTGAGACTCCTGTCTACGGGCATGCCTTGCCCACAATTTGTACTTCCTTAGCCCAGGAGCGAGCCTCCACCGTCATAGGCCCAGGAGCGGGTGTGGCAACCGGTGTGGTAAGCCAAGGCATCGGCGTTGAGGCGCATGCCGCCTGGCTCACAAACACTCAAACACTAAAAGAATAAACAAGGTGGAGATACATACAAGGCAGGAAGAGTGACACTAGCAAGGGCAGCGATACACATGAGGCGCAACATCCGTACTCAACAGCAAGGAAAACAACCACAGCAGGGACGGTGAATCGAGTAACAAACGGGTAAAATTGAGCAAGGGGCCAAAGAATCTGAAGGTGATGAGGGACAAGCGAGCAGGGCAAAAGTGCAGAGCAAGGAGCGTGCGAAGGGTTTGGGGGAGCGGGCTCCAGCGTCAAGAAAGGTCATATCACAATAGGAGCCGCGCACCGCTGGGAAAAACCTGAAGCACATCAACGAACGCCAGCAACCAAGCATGACGCGCCTGTGTCCTCAGACTGGCCAGCATGTGGGCTCACCGGCGGCTGCTGCTGCAGCTGCTGCTGGGGTGGTGTCTCCTCCTCCGTGGGTTCGCATGCCGATAGGTCGCGGACCTCGTTTAAGGCAATGAGGTGGGAAGGCCTGTCAGATCCAAACTGGGCCGGGATGCTGCCCAAGTAAATCCTTACAGCAAGGCGCTCAAACAAGCTGCAAGCTCTGAGGGCGTTGCTGCGACTGCACCCAACATGTTTGCTCAAATTTCCTAAGTGGCTTGACTATTGATCCCGCACTGTGAAGTCCAACAGCAGCTTGGCCTAAGCCTGTTCTGAACTAATACACAATGGCAAATGAGCGGCACCCGAAATGCACTGACTCTTAGTTCTACTGACTGCTACGACGCGACCACACGTTTGGTTTACGTGGGCCCAAATTTGCGCGTATTCCCCGAAACCAGCAGCTTACGCGGCGTCAGCCTTCGAGCGACTGTACAAGCCTCATGTTCTCCGGCTTGCACATCGCAACTTGTCACCGTAGTAGAGGACGGCTCCAGCTCGTCGTGCGCAAAGTACCCTTTCGGATTTGCAGAGCAAGCAAAGTACGTGAAATACCATTTGCTAACTCCAACTCGTGCATCGAAACTGACCATAAGCGTCGTACACGAAATGCCCTTTGCTGTCTCCAGCTCGCAGCTCGCAACTTTTCAGTGCAAGTGTGGTACACGAAGTACCCTCTAGCAGGCGAGTAGCAACTTGCAGCCGCAGGCCAGCGATGCCAGCAAACAAGCAAGCAGGCACGCAGGCGAGCAAGTGTTGGAGGCAAAGCCTAAAGTAAAGCTTACACGCGGCTTCCGGAGCTTACGCCGAGGCATTGGATTGGCCTCTGAATCGGCAATCTGCATAATACGATGGCCAAACTGGACCAATGACTGCATGAAAGCATCAAACTAGAGCCTCCGCAGCGCTATTTTCAACAACAAGCCGTATGCAAGCTTGGGCGGCCCACGTGTTGTCTTACGTGGCAGCATGTTACAAGAACCAGATCTAAAAATTCACTTGAGAGTTTTAGGCGCTGCTCAAGAATGATAGCAAGCAAAACTAAAAACACATAAACACGTACTGGAAAAACCAGGGTTCTGAACATCCCGCGGCCCCTTTGGATGCTGCAGCGTCACTGTCAAGCCTGCAGCAGTCCGCTGTCCATTGTTCATGTTGTACACAGATGCCTCGACAAACTTCTTAAAGCGCTCCTGGTCTGCGTCGCTCAGCAAATCAAGGATGCACTTCTGCTGCAGCTGCGGCTCGCCCACCCCCAAGATGTGAGCGAGCTTGGCTGAGGGGTTCTGAAAGGCAAGGTCTTCGCTCAGGTAAGCCTCCGCATCACACTGGCTGGCCAGCACGGCGCGAGCGGCCTCCAGGGAGGCATTCACGTCCGCATTCTGGATGATGAGCTGAGACAGCTGTGTGACAGCGTACTCTGCTCCGTACCACAGCAACCACATGTGGCCTATAGTGAACATCTGTCTTTGCAACTCCCACACAATGGCATCCCAGGCCATGGTTCCGATGTGTGGCTTATAGGCTTGCAGCACCCCCCAAAGAACCTGCATTGCAGCTGCTTTGCGGTGATCTCCAAAAGAAAACCCTGCACAAAGCCTATAGGCCAGGATCGTATCGTCTCGGTCGGTAATGTTGCATCTGTCCGCGAAGACCTTGACCAGAACAAGCATTAGATTCCACAGCAGGGCGTAGACTTCCACTGAACGCCTCTCGTTCGGGAAGTAGTCAGCTTGAAATAGGGCAGACAGCCCAACATTGAAAAAAGCTATCGGAACCACTGCGATATCATAGGGCGGGACACCGTCGATGCCAAGCTGATTCACTTTCACCCAGACCAGAAACAGGAATGATGCGTTGGACAAGGACACAAAGTCCACAAGCATCCGGGATGTGGTGCACAGCTTCTCGTCCAAAAAGCATTGCACCCTTTGACGAATATTTGCATCAGGAACCTTCTGCGAAGGCTTCTTACGCGACTGCCTGCTCCTGTCCGAACCTTAGGTTTGCACTCCTGTCGTTGGAGCATCCACGACGGGACACTTTGCAGCAAAACAACAACAGGACCTGTTTTTGCAGAAGCGTATCGAAAACAAAAGGGCCAAGGTGCAATAGTGCAGAAAACGCATAGCATTACTTATGAGAATCGGTGCCAAGACAAACGGCACGCATTGAACCATGGCGCCCATCATGTCCTCAGCCCGGTCGAGGCAACTCCAAGCAACACGCCCACGCATGAAACCTGTGAGATCAAAAACAGAAAACTCCTTTTTCCATGCCGTCAACAAGGAAATCCAAGGAAACCGGACGACCTATTTGAGACGCATCCATCTATGTTTGTGGATGTTCTTCAACCCTGACATGCTCGAGACCTTTTTTTTGCGTTGCTCGGCTGTGGATTCTTCAAGGCAGGGTCTGTAGGAACTACCTCTTTGGGATCACTGCTGTCTGTGCCCCCTTAAAAAAAACAAGGCCAATGAGCTATCACGTGTCCTGGTCTATTCTAGCTCAACGGTGATCGGCTGGCAAGCAGAAGGCCACAATCGATCATTTCGCAACTCATGGCTCATGACAGAAAGCGCTGGGTGGTTCGGCAAGCAGCGGACAATTCCACCATGGCTCTCCGGAACTGCAAAAGCTGACAAAGCCCGCCCCTACCGGGTTCGACTTGGCAATCAGCTGCGAGCAAGTCTACGATCTGGGCCATTGAATCCAGCAGCAAAGATGCGTTCAATCAAGCACCAGCACAAGAGAAAATCAACACATCAAAACTAGAAGCACATGCCCCTCAATTTTTGCTGCGCGTAGTTGCAAATGGTGGGTGTGTTAAGCACGCTTTCACTGACTGCATCGTTTACAAGCTGGGCGCCTGCGGGTGGCAAGCAGCCCACTGTTTTGCTCTGCACAGGCGGCCATTGCACGCAAGGCGGAAGCTGGGGATCAAGTTGTGACGCAATCTCTGTAAATTGCCTACCGTATGAATGATGCGCACATTCTACTGAAAGGACATGCATTGACAAGTGACACCGAGTTCTCTCTCACATTGAAGATTCACATGTTGCTCGTGACTCCGTCACATGTCACACATATTGACATGCTTCTTAAAGTCTTAAAGTCTTGGCCTGACCCTTGCTTCACAAGATCTTGCGAAGGCCATTACCGGGCGCGCCTTAAGCCGAACCTACGAGGGCCTTGAGCAGCCTCTTTCTTCGTCCTGCGAGTCCTTCACCCGGGCAAGGAGTACACTCACAGTTGCGTTTGGGGCATCACGAGCATGCCCTCCAAGATGCTCGCGGCTGTATGCGAGCGCGAGTGCATTTGTGTGTGGGCGTATGGGGGTGGATTGCGTGTGTTGGAAAGCTGAGCGTGAAAAGGGAAATGAGACGAACAAGTGCAAAGAGGCAAGCAGCAGCACTCCTGGGCCTCAAGAGGGCTCCCCTAAGGCCTGGGAGCTCAAGGAAACCACTTCCCTTCGGGAAGGACATGTGGTACGGCCGAAAAAGGCAGGCCAAGGGAGCCTTGGGTTCTGGGCCACTTTTGTGGCTGGGATTGCCTTTGTATGCTTGCATTGTTTTTGGCATTCTCGTGGCGTGCCCCCGAGGCACTTGCTTGGCTTGCTTCGTCAGCGCTGCACAATGCAGACAAGCCCCCCCCCCCTCACGCCGCGCATTTTTCATCGCACTCATTTCCTTGCGTGACATAGACCGCTGCCAGCAACGGCACCTCCTCTGAACACGCTCCTGCGGATTGGCAAGAGCGGGCCGCGCGAAACGCACGGGACACAAGTCCAAGTAGTTAACCCAAGATCTCGCAATCGAACCTAAAACTTGAACATCACCAGAAGAAACACAGCAAAGCAAACTTGCAAGCACTAGAGGCAAACAAACTGATGGCAAGATGACAACAAGAAGCAGTTGAGCAAACACAACAAACCCAAGCAATAGCGCCGGAGGCAAGCAGCCACACACCAAGAAATAGCAACCAGCAGCCAGCAGCTGCTACAGTAGCAGCCAGCAGTGTGAGCACACTCATGCAGTCTCGGCGCGCGCATGGGCAAGCAGCGGCTCGAGAGAAGCCTTGTACTGTTAAAAGGGGAAGAGACAACTATCGAAAGAATTATCGAAAGGTCTGGCCAGGCCATTGGCCGTTCTGGCCAGGCCATTGGCCGAGTGTCAGACCCGCCTGCGGAGGCCCAGGCCCCTCCAAAGAGAGATTGTCAGAACACTTCGAATCCCGCCGACGCTCAAATCGTGATGCGAAGCAAAAGGCCGAAAAGGACGAACCACATGGACTTCAGCACCAAAGCTGCTTTGAGCACAAGCAAGACCGGGCTGACCGTGCCAGATTGCACCATCATGCCGTGATGCGGGGGCAGCGGAATGCGGGAAAGCTTGGGCGCAACAGCGCATTCAAGCCATGAAGCAAAACTGGACCTCCTGAAATCTGGGGCTGCTGGTGAAGGCACTGCATGACTTGCAAGGGGCGCAAAGCCGAGCCCACTGCGCCGGGTACAAAGCTCGGCCCGGTTACATTGGACCGCGAAGATCAGGGTGATGCCATTTTTGGGCGGACACATCATGTCATTTGGCCTGAAGCGACATCCCGGGGTGGGTTGCCCAAAGCTTATTAGGCCCTGTCCCAACCAACGCGAAGCCGAACAGAAATGCGTCTTGGGCTTGTACGTCCTCAGCAACCCTCTCCTTGTCGCGGGCTGACAGATTTGCTGACTTGAAGACGTCCGCAACCTTCGCCTGCAGTTAGGGCTCATCTGGCTTCAGCGTTTGATGTGCTTGGGGAAGAAGATCAGATGCAAAGCGCAAGCCGCAGCGGTCGTTGAGGCGCTGCGGAGATTGAAGCCTCTGTGGTACGGTTCTTGCGACGAGCTGTCAGGGAAGCGACTAGTAGGGCCCCTGGTGCCCAAGAGGTCGCGGAAGACGATGTGCGGTAGTGCCAAGGCAGTCGTGTTGACTTGTCCTTGGCACCGCTGGCAATTCACCCGTGTGACCCCCAAATGTCAAGCATGATGCTGACGCGGTCCTCGCCGACCACTGGATAAACTTCTAGCTGGAATGCCCACGCGCCTGAGACTGGCAAAGCACGACGTGAGCTTGTCTTACTGAACCAGGCTTGCGTGAACTGGCTCCTACGTGGTGATGCGCATGGTTGGGCACAAGGGGAGGTCTCTCAGACGAGCTGAAGATCAGCATGTGCGACTTGGTGGTCTGACTTGCCATTGCTGCTCCTGAGTGGTTGCCCTTGTTCTTCTAGGTGCTGATGCCGTCTTCATGTCGCAGCCATTGGAACGGGCTGGATGGCTTGTAGCCAAGCGCCTTGAGGGCTTTCCATGCTGGTTTCAAGGCAAGAGCACCCGCGATGTTGCCGAGCCCCAACCTTTCTTGATGACGGTCGGTATGATGAGCTGCTTCGTGATTTTCTCCTCGTTGTGGGGTGTGGGTACTGTCATTGATCCGCGGGAGGCCTGGAGTGCAACAGTATTGGGAGTGCGCTGCTTTTGCTGCAAGAGCCTCGCCTCGCCGCAAAAGTCGATGTTCGTGCAGTGGAGCACCGCTTCATCGAAATGAAGTTGCCCCTGCTACTTGAGGATCCCAGGGCGGCCATGCAGAGATGATGCTACTGGATGGCAACGTGTCCCGGATGTGAATTTGTGGTTCTGGATGGGCCATCGCCAGGGAGACCTGGCAGCGTGGGTCTCTTTCACCTCGTCTCCCAGAGAGCTGCAGATCGTTCTGGGGTGCGCAGTGGCACTGTGGAGCCTGGCGATGTCTTTGGTCTGGGCGACTGGGGCGGCACCATGGTAGCGCCATCGAGACTCGCCTTGAAGTTGTAAATCATGAGTCTGCTCCTCAGCCACGAAGCTGAGCCCTATGTGAATCACTCCAGTGAAGTCACCCTCCGGACCAGCTCCCCAGCTTTAGCTGAAGCAAGTCCACCGCTGGCAGGACTTGGGAGCAAAGGCTGCAGCTCCAACTAAAAAAACGAGGCGCACATGCGCTAAGTCAGCTTTCAGGTGACTGTGCAATCCATAAGAAGGTTGTGGAAGCAACAACCAAACAGCCGCGCTGAATCAATAACCAACGCGGAAAACGGATCTTGCTTGCATGCTGTGCTCTCGCTTGCATTCAACGGTTCCTGTTTAACTCTTGCCTGCCTTTTGAGTCAACACATGTTGATCGAACGTTGGCTTCTTCTTGTGTGGATGTTTGATTCGGTCAAATCATGGGCTGCAAAGGGCCTCGAAAGTGCCGGGCCCATCCCCCCACTCCTTGATCAAACCTTGGAGCGCGTTGCGCTGCAGCAAAATCCCGCAAGCGCATGCAGGTCTCGCGCGTGGGCGCTTTCCGCAGCTTGTCCTGCACATCATAAATCTAGAGTTGGATGAACAATGGCTGATGGCACCATTCCGTTGGCATTTCATTTTGGCATGGCAAACCCACTGCTACGCTCCAGCCGTGCTTCCAGCCGTGCCAGGTGCGCTCCCCGGGCAGAACCAACCTGGCCGTGTGAAGCCTAGCTCTGATGCAGCTAGCCCACTTGCCAGTGGTCTTCAATTCAAGCATCTGGACTAATGGATTTTTTCACTCGTGCATTGCGCTTACTTTGACTCTCAGGCTTTGTACTGAACTTGACCAAAAAAATGGAACCCGCTATCAGAAGCCGCAAGCTGACAGCTTGCCTTGGCCGGCCAGGGCTCCGCAAAAGCACCCGTGCGCGCAGCGTCCCAGCCCTGCAGGGATAGGAGCAGGTTTGCTTTGCAGAAGCTGAGCTCCCCCCCCACCAGCAAGCCCTGGCGCATGGTTTTTCAATGGCTCCCTTGGCAAAAGCACTGCGCAAGACAAACAACCTTGCTCATGCCTCTGTGCCTCTCTTCACACTACAATCTTCTATTGTCAGATCGTCTGAGCACTTGCCCATTTTGGTGATTTGGCTAGATATGGCCAGCTTGACGCCGGGTCCACCATTGCGCCTCCACATCGCCTTCTCGTTGTTGAGCACTGACGCAGGGCCAAGCGTCCTTAGAAACAAGCGCCAAGGAAACACACAACTTCCTCAAGCATGCCTTTTATGAGCAAACCACTTGTCGAATGCCGGTGCGAATCCCCCGACTTGGTGCCCTTAAAAACGGTTAGGATGCGCTTGTTGTGGGTTTCATTTGTTCTTGTTCCGGGTGTGGCCTTTGAATATCCAACAAGGGTGGATCCACAAAAGCCACATCCAAACCGTTTTCTAGAGTTGCCAGCGTGCACATCACTCTTCCCCAAACGCAGCAGTTCTTGTCGAAACCAAGCATGTTGCGGTGTGAGAGCATGCTGGCCAAAGCGGGCAATGCACCACGCGCAATGGCTATGCATTCAAACAGTTCCTTGCAGAATCTTTAGGCAATAAAAAGTATCCCAAAAGTCGGCGCAATCTGCTGGAACCCCTCCTGCCCCAGAAGCCATGTGTTTAATATGATCTGCTTCACAAGAGTAGAGCTGAACATTCTTTACTGGCAATCAGCCCTGCGATCTGGCTTGTAAAGGCAATGAAGTTTGATCAATCGAAACAAATTTTACATGCCGCATCATGAAACAAACAAGCTTCCAGTTCTTCAACTACAGCTCCTTTTTCGGCTCGGCTAACGACCAAAGCACGCCCACAGAACAGGATAGTAAGCGCTTGTCACGTGCCTTGCTGACCAAAATCGACCAAAGCAAACCCCCCCTCCCCCAGCTGCATGGTTCAACACAATCCTTACCCAGGCGTCCGGAAACTCGCCCGGCGCGACCTGCCAGGCAGCATCCTGGGAAAAGATTCCGTGCGCAAGGATAAGCAAGCCCAACACAGCTTCTCTGTGTCAAGCATGGGCCTCTCAAGCTCTAGTGTGCAATCAGTGTTTCCCTGCGATCTTCGGAACCTGCCAAAACATGTCTTAACATTCATGGCCTAGCTGGGTGGAGAACTAGCGCTATTTTGGCAGTGGTGGCCGGTAGCAGCGGTGATACCATACTTGTGCTAGAAAAGAATCGGCTTGTTGGGTGGGCGTTTGCAAACGCCCGCCATTGCTCACGCAGCATTGGGTTGAGGCCTTCCCCTGAGTTCAAGCATTGCATTGGCGAGTTTGGGGCCTCTGGCAATGTGCCAAAAACTTTCAATGAGGCGCTCGAAATGAAATGTTGCCACTTGAATATCTGTCGACAGCTTGCTGAGCAAGCACAACAACTCGACTTGCGCCTCCATGACCTCTCCCAATTCAGGCCAGCCGTCCTCCGGCACTATGACACGGGTGAAAGCTTGAGTCAGGGTTGAACAAGAGCACCATGTGATCCGCCGCGCAAAAACCAAACTATGTCTTGCGCAAAGGGGGCCCTCCAAAATGGATTTCGATCTTCCTTTGTTCAGGGTTTCTCCCCCCAAACAAAAGACAAACTACTGTGCTTGCGCTGGTAAGGCTTGCAGGAGAAGATTGGCCTTGCAGCAGAGGAACTGGCCATGCCTCTGAGCCAGCGTTACCGAGTGCCTGCCGGGCTGGTGGACCAACAGCACGCTGTGGGCGCTGAATTTGACCCGTCGGTCATTCAAGGGAAAAACCACAAGAAACCACTTTCTTTCTTTGGAGGGGGGGGACCCTGTTTTGACATTGGAATGCCCTGTGCTTTCTGCCTTTTGCCCCAAGCTCTTGCAACAGCCCACGGTCACTTCTTAGGCGCATCACAACAGGTCAGTAAGAGAGGACCTTCAGGGATCCAGAACATGTTGACTTGTGCCTTATAAAAATATATAAAAATAGGCTAGCGGCACACACGTTTCACATCGAGGAATGACACCAACTCTAGCGCTCATGTAATTCAACAAGCGCTACTCCATATAACATGTTTGACTATGTTGAATTCACGCACCTCAGCATGAATCCAGGCTTGACGTATAATTGTGTGGCCTCATGACACAGCTTTACGACAAACTCTCCCCCTCCCTACACGGCTCATGATGAACTTACAGCGCACAGTATACACCAATGCCAAAGCCTGGATAATTATTCCAATGCACGCCGGTTTCAGACCAAGAAATAACCAAAACACTTCCCCCACAGCGCCACCCAGCTCAGCACCACAGGCCACAGGTGCTGCCTGTGAGTTGTCGCTGTCACCCTGGCTGGCAGTTGTCCAAGCGCTCTCCTTACACGCGGCAGAAGCGACGACAAAATCTACACTTCTAACATCCTGAGAGATCGATGCACAGGAAGAGGTAGCTTTGCGAGTTTTCCAGAGAGGGCCGAGGAGGTTCCTTCGGTTGTATGATATGGAAGTAAGGCATCTGGGCGCAAGCTGCAGAAGTGATCCAGAGCTGCAACACTCTCATTCAAAGTGCAGACTGTCTTGGCCGAACCAGGGGGTAATTCGGGGGTGCCCCTGCTAGTGGAGATTCATTACTTTTGGAGGGGAACACTCCGCTATTAATGGGACGGGTTCATCAATCCGGGGTTCCTCTTCATGAAGTGCCCAGCTTGATGTCCAAACGGAGCTTTCCTCTTCACGAGTCATGCTACTTTGAAAGTCAGGGCACATCCACCCAGCAAGTAGAGACAGGCTGCGCCATGGCAAACAGCCAAAGATCTCACGTGCTGGCTTCCACATTGCACAATTCTACCTCACATGAACTCACATGTGTCATGCTGCGCATCCCCCTTCTGATGCCACAACTTGCTTGCATGTAGGCTAGCAGCTAGCAAAGGACGTTGAGCAGTCGGGCACATGTTGAACCTCGAAAATCCAAACAAAGATGCGGGAGGAACGGTAAGGGCTAATCAAGTCTCTGCCCGCATGCCTGCGGCCGGCTCACTATCAAATGTTCAAGCTTTGGCAAAAAATGTCTAGCCGAGGTGCAAGCGTTTGCTGGCACCTTCACTGCTGCTAATCGAGCTGCGGGTGACAGCTGACCAATGCTCGGTAGAGCGCTTTCCCAGACCGCAAGCATTGAAAGATACTGAAAGAAACAAAGCGCGCCTGCGGCCAAACCGATTGGACCAAGGAGACCCAAAAGTCCGTCGTGAGCAAAATCAACCAGGAGCATACGACACTCCGCACGTAGCTCTTGAGCGCCAAGTTTTCCGGTCATCCAGGCTTTGGAAACGCCTGGCAGTCAGCACAATTGCACAGGCGTCAGGGAGCGTACATGAAGAGAACTTGTGCTGAACCATTGGATTGCAAGCAACAGTGAATCATTGAAGGCACATGATCCAATTTCCCAGTCGCCTCTATCTCTTTCTGGCTGCAAGTGAAGGCCGAAGTCAGCGCCATGCGTACTCCGCTGGACACTGGCAGCACCTGGCTGATCTCTCTCACCCGGAAATGATCAATCCATTCAGGCAGAATCACCGACACTTTGATAGTTTTCAGGGCTGCCTTCCAAATCCCGGCAAGGCCATTTCTGAGACCTGAAGCCACACGTTGCAAGGCAGCAGTATTCGCTTGGGCTTCGTGGCTCCCCTTCAAAGCGCCGACAGCTCATCCTGCTCATGTCTAGTTCGTCGCCTCTCCTTTCCTGCAAACAGTCCTCAGTCCTAAGCCAGAGAGGATGATGCATTGCGCACTCCTCCCTCTCAAGAGCCTGGAACATCGTTTCAAGCCCCCCCTCCTCCCCTCCCTCCACGTGTTACTGTATGCTATGGCCCCCCGTGATTCCAGTGCCTTGTGGGGGTTCTCAGCATCGCTGCTGAAGGCCACAAGGCGCCCATACCGCGGTTCCACCACGGCATCGGCGCCGCCGGTGCCCTCGAAAAGGAACTGCCCGCCTTGAAAGTCCTCATGGCTTGCACAGAGCGTAGGCAAATCTTCGACCAGGGAAGTGATCCTTGGGCATGGCCCATTACCCTTTGGACATGCGTCGGCCTGGTCATGCACCACTCCCATGTCAAGCCCCCAACCATGAAAGATTACGAAGCAATGAGCCCGATCTAGTGCGTGAGACGGGTACCTTCTCACAGCAGCACGCGGCTAAGGAACGCGCAGGCACTATCGAATCTTTGATGCGGTCGCAACAAGTGCTGGGCATTCAACAAAACGCGCTACCATGCACGAGTGCAGGATCCACCCTCGTACTAACATCCTTCAAATCCCCGACGTGAGGCAAATTGCGTCCTTGTTGGCAGTATTCAAATAGAGCAGGGTCGTGTAGGCAAAGGTCCCATACTGCTCCGTGTCAACGTGGCTGTGCCAATACTCGTCGTGCACCGTCTGCGCCTTCTTGCTGCCGTTGATATGGGAGAAAAAGGTCATGTCGTGCCTCTCGAACAGGCAGACTTGCATGCAGAATGCAAACCCACGGGGCGCCTGTCGTGCTAGGCGTGGACATGTTGCCCAGGAAGTAAGCAATGTGTTGTTTTGAGGGCCTTTACCCTGCAATGGGCAAGAATGTAAGAAACGCGCCAAGAGTAGGTTTGAAGGTTGCCCATGGAAACCCAACCACTAAACCCACTAGAAAGATCTAACAAAATCTAAAAAGCTAAGGAACCGGATGGCTGGTTGAACCGCCAAGATGAGTCGTTTTACTTGGCCCAGGCGTCGAGCAATACAGGGCCACTACAAAGTGCATATCTATCAACATGCATGCCTTCAGCATAACTACTTCCCAAACATACGGCATCAATGCTTTGTCAGGAACAGTTTTCTTTCAACAAACCTAGGTATGACGTTGCAATCTTCCCTCTCAAAAAGCAATCGCAAGGAGACAACCCCCTCCTCTGCGAGGTCAGGGGGCGATATTTCCCAGCCTCAAACCCTCCACAGGCACGCCAAACAACTGGGAGATCTGGTCCCGCAAACGCCGGCGCACGGAAAGGTAGGCCTGGCACCAAGGACAAATGCCCCGTCAAAAATGCAATGGGAGTGGAGCTTCGTTGCTCCCTAGTGGGTTGCAGCGCTTTGTCAGAGGTGGCACAGGCCAGTCCAAGCTGCTTGCGGAAGCAGAAAGCTGAGGGCCTTGAGAACCGGCAGTACGCGCGCAGCTCCCTATCGCTAGAGATGAGCCATCAGATTTGATGATCAGCCTTGGACCGCTTTCTTCATTTGGTATTGCCCTGGCCACACAAGCGTCCGAGCACCAAAACGGCAGGCTGGAAGCCCTTGCCCCTTTGTTGGCTCCGGTCGCCTCCACCTGCTTCTCTGTGAAGCTGATGGACTTAAACTCCATCAAGGCGCTCAAGTTCACAAACTGCTCCTTGGTGGTTAAGGTGACCCACTGGGAGCAACAACGTATGTAAACCCATGTTGGCCCATGGGCCACGTGCATCTAGGAGAGAATGCGGGCTTCCAAAACATGGGCTCCCGAACATGAATTGATGAGAATTGGGTTGAACGCAAAGGCATTGAAGATCTCTCTGGCTCTGTCGTCTCCTGCTCGCTCTCTCTCGCTCTCTCTCTTTCTCAATCTCGCTCGTGCTATCCAGTCTGCTGGCCCCCGAAGTAGGAGCACTGATTAAAATCGTGCACTGTATATTTGGCGCACGCTTCCGCAAGCATGACTTGCAGCTGCAACAAAATCGGTCAGAACCCCTGACAAAACATGCAAGGTTTTCTTGTGACAAACAGCCTGGCAGGAGAGGATGACATGACAAAGGCCCACCCAATCGGCGACTCACCAAACAAAAACTCCAAGGAGTGGCCACGCCTTGTAGGAGATGGTCTCCGAATGCAGGTCTACCACGCTTGGGGGTCCACTGCCACCGCCCCAGGCTTCCGCCACGAGCCAGGTGAGCAAAGACCGCAGCTCCTATGCTTTGAGTGGGATGGACTAGACACCAGTTTTCTTGAATACCAAGGCGTCCACCATCGCTCTTTGCATGGCGCCTTGTGATTGCTTGCCAATCTGCCGTGTTTTCGCTGACTCGGCCTCATGCCTTGGCTGGCTGTGCCTGCCAGCGAGTTGGATCTCAAATGCCAGCGGTTGGGTACTCCCATCAATGGAGCTGGCTCGCAACATGTCCCGGATGTGCCAGGCAAACTTGAGGCCAGGGGAAGCAAACGAAAACGTCCGCGCAAGGAACCGGCTCACCAGGGGTTGACGGAGAGAAGAGTGGCAGAAGAGCGAAGAGAAGGCGAAGAGTTGGCGGGGAGCAAAGGGCAAAGCGGAGTGAACAAAGTGGGCAGAAGCCGTGGAATCTTGTCGGCAGTCTGGCGGGGGGGGGGTTGGTGCCATGCAGAGCAGCCCGTAAACTGGCCCAATCACTGCTAAAGCAACCAAAAACTACGGGCACCAATGCACCAATTGAAGCCAAAGCAGGTGCAACCAATCTCAACCGGTCCTCCACCTCTTCGGAGGGAATCACCCCATCAAGCACGAAGCGCGCGCAGCGGTTGGCTCTCCTCACAAGAGTTGGCAACATGTTGTGATTGGCGTGTATGGCAAACCGGAAGGAACGCGCGCCCCGTGTCATGTGTGTTGCCCTAACTTTGAATCATGAAATGCTGTAGAAGCTGTAAGAGAACTGGAAGAAATTATGGTGGTGAAGAGTGGAAGACAGAACGTCCTTGTCATAGCGAACATGCTCCCTTGACATGCTCCAAGTGTCACAAATTGTCACAACTACTCCAGCCAAAGCGGTCCTGGCATCGCCACACACACCGGAGGATCCGCTCCCGTCTCCTCAAGGCATGTCATTTGACTTTATCCAACGGAAGCAACCCGCACAAACATGTCCCACCACCTTGGATACTCTTGGATACTTAATGCGCAAGAACAAGATGCTGAGCCCTGTCATTCGCAAACTTGCCAAGACCATGGTCCTAACCCGATGCACATTTTTTGCCATGCCCGCGCCTCCAGCCTTGGGGGCACAAGTAACGTTCATCTGCAAGGAGACCGCGGAGGCCGCGCTGGCCCACGCGTCCGAGGGCTTCGCCGTCCTCACCCAAGGAAAAAACCGCCCATTCGCCCATTTCCCGGGACTCGTTCTCTGTTGGATCTCACCTGCACTCAAACTCTCAACGCCACCCGGCTTGACAGTCATCCACCAAGTTGTCCACCAAGTTGATCGACAAAGTTTGTCAGGTCAATCATCGCAGGACCCAGTGGAATTGCTCTCGAAGGCGGTGAGCAGCGGCTGTGAAATCGTTGGGCTGGTAAGCACAAACACACGTTCTCCAATTGTCATAACATATGAAGAACTACGCGCTGACTTGAGTGCTTCCCAGCAAAGAACTGCTGGAGTGCAGGTCGTGAGTTTACTGGCTGGTGTCACATGCAATTTGGCAGGCCACTATCCTCGCATCACTCATTTTCCGTTTCCACGCGGGTCCAGCATAGCTTTAGAGCTTTGACCCCATTTCCGGTTCCGATTCCAAGCCGCAGTGAGCGTTCTCTGCAGGATTTTGCCAGAAAGTCACCTTCCAGGTTGAACTTGCGAGAGGGGCATCATCCTATGTCATATATTGTCATATGTTTCAGCAGTTAATGTGGGTTAAAGGTCAACCGCTGGAGCCGTTTCCGTCAAACCCCCTATTGCGTGGACCGAATTTAGTGGCACCTGGTGGTATTCAATTAGTCCACAATTGTGTTGAAGCCCTGTGCTTCCCTCACTCTCCACACCCACCGGTTGCAAGACAAGCTTCGTGGCAAAGCCTAAGGCTACAGCTGCTACAGCGACTGCAGTGGTGCCAAGCACCCACCTGGCAGCAAAGCGAGAGAACAAAATGCACCGCATTAGCAACGGGTTTCCCACGCCCACACAAACAATCAAACAAACGAACAAACAAACAAACAAACAAAGAAACAAACAAACAAGCAAACAAGCAAGCAAGCAACACATTAAGTAATTAATTGTTTACCCATGCACTCACTCATTCAACCAACCAAGCAACCAAGCAACCAAGCGACCAAGCAACAAAGCGACCCAGCAACCAAGCAACCAAGCAACCAAGCAAACACACACACACACACACACACACACACACCGTGCGCGCGCCAATCCAAGCGCTCACTATCCGGCTCTCAAAAAGCCAAAACTGCTTGAATCACCTGCAACAGGATCAGCAAGTGCTCAATCATTCGCAAGCGAGGCTTTATCCACAACCAAGGCAAGGCAGCTACAAATGCGGTCCGTGAGAAAAAGCTGCTGTTGTTGCATGCTTGCGCAGGGCTATTTTCATGAGAAGCATTCAGCTAGCTTTTAACGTGTCTTTTTTGGTTTAGCTGCACCGACCAGCCGCAGCAAACATGCCCCGCAAATAAAACCAAGTCCTATTGCCTATTGCTAGCTGGCTGCCCCTGTTCCAACTCAACCATGCAAACGCTCTTGTATGTTCCCCTCGGCTTGGGCTGAAACCCGACTTTTTTGTTCGCGGCTGTGGCGGCGACTCTCCTGGAGTTTCTGCATCTCCTGCAGGCACTGCTTCTCCACGGCCGCCTGCCCACCCTCCTCCTGCGCCAGGAAGCACTCCTCCGCCGCCCCGCCCCGCAGCGCCCGGTCACTGATCCGCCGCTCCCGAAAGCAAACGCCCGCGGCGGACTCGTAGGCCTAGGGGAGGGTGTGGTCGCTTTTGCCCCTATCCCTCATAAAGTCAAGTTGCCCAGCTTCCGCACCTTCCGGGAAGGAATAAACGTGAACAAACAAGCAAAAGCATCACAACATTTAGGAAACCATAGCCGCCAGCCCCCACACCAGAGTGTGCCTGCAGCGACCGCTTGGTACCCAGGCCGAAAGGATCGACCAACAAATCCTGCAGAGGCGGACCTGGCAGGGGCCATGCCTGCTGCGGCTCCTGAAAGAAAGGTGTGGGTCCAGAACCCAGCAGAGAGTGCAGCCTTCTTCTGGACTTGCGACCCAGCTCCTGATACAACTCGCTCATGTCCTCCGCATAAACCCGCCGATAGTCTCTCTTCCACAAATGGAAAAAGAGGCCTTCGGACGGCGAGAAAAGGTCCCAGCCGTGGGTAAAAAGCCGCACCGTCATCAGGATCTCTTCGCCGAAGAACAACATCAGCAGCTGCGGGTCGTAAGGCACTTCTGCCAGAACCTGTGAGGAGCTGAACGAGAAGTGCGCGCTCCAAAAGAAGCTCGACTGCGGCTCCTGCCAGTCTTGAGTCAGTGAGCGGTAGCGAATGTTCAGAATGTCGTCTTTGTCAAAGAAAGCGGCACAGTTCAAGCAGCCAGTGAGATTCCCTGGGTACATATTGTAAGCTGTGCCCAGCTCATAACCCCTCCCGTAGCTGCATAGCACCGGCTTAGGTGAGCGCAAGGCACACAATTCAAGCTGCTGGCGTGCCTTTTGATCCCAGCCGGGGACAAAACGCATGTGGCTGTCCAGCTGCAAATACAACTCTTCACCTTCCCACAGCAGCTGGGCTAGATATCTCGCCCAACAAGGTCCCCTAGCATCCTCAGGCCGCATAGAAATCACCCGCAGGCGACCGTCCAGAAATGCCTCAGACTCCACTTCACGGCTCTGTGGGAGGTGCCACCTGCGGCTGTGCACCTCGCCGCCTTCGCAAAGCCACAAACTGCGCAGCTCAGGCTCGTTCAGAGGCACCCGGCCCTCTCCTTGCCAAACCACGCCCACTGTGATGAGCTCCGGGCGCACGCACTGTGCCAACAAAGCGCAGAGGGTCACAGGCAGCTCAGAGTCGCAATAAGCGACCACAGACACGAAAATGCGCCCGTCGCGTATGTCGCTGGCTGGCTTTCTCCTCTCAGATTCGCGTGCCCTGCGGATCCTGCGCCCCCAGGTAGCTTTGAAGCACTGCGAGCTGCAGCTATCGACAGGAGAACAACCGCACCGCTGTTCAGCTAGCAAGCTCATGCTCAATGGATGCCGCTACCACGCGCGTTGCGGCACAGGCGTGGCACTAGTGCATGGCCGTTTCTGCAATCTATGGCTGAGGTCTGACACAAACATGCTTGCTGGCCACGCGGCTTCTTCAAATAGCAGTCCTTTGTGCTCAGTTTGAATGCGTGCGCGCCCAATTCACAAAGATAAAGTGCAACATTTATGACACTTGTATATATATATATACACATGTGTGTGTGTGTGTGTGCATGTCTGCATGCATTGCAAGAATATGGCAACAACAAATCAACTCTATGCACCCCCTGTTGTCACTGGTGCCTTGGTCCATGAACCCTTTGAGGGGTGCAAGATGTGATACTGAGCCGAGTTCTAAGCCAGCACCAGCAAGACAAAGCTTCTCTGCGGGAATGCTCGAGGACAAGTTGACAACTTGCGCTTGCAGCCAGCAACTGCCACTTGCTAACCCCGGACCATCTCGGACCAACCACTTTTGCGTTTCCAAGGGGCAGGCGGAACAGCAAGGAGCTGGTCATGACTCGGCAAACCAACCGGACAAAATGCCATCCTGCCTGGGCAGGGCGCGCTCCGGCTTGGGCTTCTCGGCCTTCTCCTGGCGTCAGTGGCTGGATGCCAAGTGACCAAAGCCAACGCTTCGCCTCATTTGCTTTCCGCTTGCCGGCCATGGCTAGCGGCACAATGGCACGATGGGTCCAACTTGGAGAAGCGATTCCAAGCATTTCGGTTTGTGGTACGTTCCGTGCAGGCCAGAAGCCTATCCGCTTATGAGATCGCGGATGTGAACTTCTAAGATGCTTCTTCAAGCGCCGAGGCTCACTTACTAAGCCGGCAAACCCAAGGCTTGGCCAAAGCCTATGCACAGCATTTCCGAGTTCGATTAAATTCGATTAACATGCTGACTCTTTGGGAACATTTGTGCAGTTGCGCAGGGTCGAGTCAAAAATGAGCCCAACAGGCCAACAAATCAGAAAAGAACAAGTGATGATTATCATCGCTACTGGAGCTGCCAGGGAACATCACGAGGATCGTTGCTGGAGATGCTTCATGTCACAAACCCGACTTGAGCATTCAGAAACTCCGGGGCACTGGCCAAGCTGCAAAAGTTCATCTAGCTGGGAAAGGTATTGATTCGTTGGGAAAACAAAGAAGGACCTGAGCTGTGCATATGGGCATTCCTTGAGCCGGGGCTCAGCTGTGGTGTCCGAACTGTTCCAAGGCGAATTGCCCCCCCCCCCCCCCCGCTTCCGCAATCTGAACGCTGAATGCCCATGAATTGAATTTGTCTTGGATCCCAACTAACCAGCAAAGCCTTGTCAACACAAATTGGCTCCTAGCCTTGAATCTGGCGAATGAGCCCACAGATCTCAAAGCTCGTGCGCCCTTTTCTCATCGTTTGCTTGCTTCCCCGAATGCGCCACTTTGTGGCTGCAACTCGTGAAGGTGCTCACTCGCTAGGCTGCCCAATCACCCTGCGGCATCGGCTGCATTTTGAGAATAGCGTCGGGGTACTGGGCCCCTCTGCCAAGTGTGCACGTCTATTCACGGATCGGAGTACTTTCAAAATCTCATTCCGTCCTTTCAGCGCAATAGATCTCTCAAGCCGATTGCGCCAAATCTTGCGGAAACCAAAAAGCATGCCACGAATTCACAGCGAGTCATCGCATGAGAGCAGGCCGTTTGCCATTATGCCAACTCAGCCTGCATGGTGTCTCTGATTAATTACATCTAACCAGCCAGAGTTAGACATGGATCAAGAACCCATGACAACCGTAGTCTACCGGTTTTGCAAAGCCACAAGAACTGCGAATGCGTTGTGTGTTCGTGACGGTTGGAGGGGCGGGGCGACGGGGCGGGTTTGCCCTCATCCAGCAAATTGGCTGAAAAGTTTTTTTCCCAAAAGCATCTCTGATGCTTGGGCTGCTTTAGGTTTTCTCTTAAGGTGCCTGGGAGCGATACAAGCTGTGACGGCGGAGATAAGAAGGGATTTCCATTTCGTTGTGCTGCAGACCGGGCTTGCGATGCCGGCTGGGGTTGCAGACCGGGCGTACGATCGCTGGCTGGGGGGACGGCGGTGTGGGGCTGGCTGGGGGGACGGCGGCGTGGTGCACACTGGGTGCGCGAGGCTGGCTGGAAACTGCCCGCGAGCGAGACTGGCTGGCTCAGGGGACGCAGACTGGGTGTGGCTGGAAACCGCACGCGAGCGAGACTGGCTGGCTGGGGGGGGGGCGGTGTGATGCAGACTGGGCGCGCGAGGCTGGCTGGAAACCGCCCGCGAGCGAGACTAGCGCGGTGGACGCTCGTGACATGCGGAAACCGCCCGCGAGCGAGACTGGCGCGCTGGACGCTCGTGACATGCGGAAACCGCCCGCGAGCGAGACTGGCGCGGTGGACGCTCGTGACATGCGGAAACCGCCCGCGAGCGAGACTGCTACGGTGGACGCTTGTGACATGCGGAAACCGCCCGCAAGCGAGACTGGCGCGGTGGACGCTCGTGACATGCGGAACCCGCCTGCGAGCGAGACTGGCACGGTGGACGCTTGTGACATGCGGAAACCGCCCGCGGGCGAGACTAGCGCGGTGGACGCTCGTGACATGCGGAAACCGCCCGCGAGCGAGACTGGCGCGGTGGACGCTCGTGACATGTTAACCGCCCGCGAGCGAGACTGGCGTGGTGGACGCTCGTGACATGCGGAAACCTGCCGCGAGCGAGACTGGCGCGGTGGACGCTCGTGACATGCGGAAACCGCCCGGGAGCGGGACTGGCGCGGTGGACGCTCGAGACATGCGGAAACCGCCCGCGAGCGAGACTGGCGCGGTGGACGCTCGTGACATGCCGGAAACCGCCCGCGAGCGAGACTGGCGCGGTGGACGCTCGTGACATGCGGAAACCGCCCGCGAGCGACACTGGCGCGGCGCACGCTCGTGACATGCGGAAACCGCCCGCGAGCGAGACTGGCGCGGGGGACGCTCGTGACATGCGGAAACCGCCCGCGAGCGAGACTGGCGCGGTGGACGCTCGTGACATTCGGCAACCGCCCGCGAGCGAGACTGGCGCGGTGGACGCTCGTGACATGCGGAAACCGCCCGCGAGCAAGACTGGCGCGGTGGACGCTCGTGACATGCGGAAACCGCCCGCGAGCGAGACTGGCGCGGTGGACGCTCGTGACAGGCGGAAACCGCCCGCGAGCGAGACTGGCGCGGTGAACCGCCCGCAAGCGAGACTGGCGCGGTGGACGCTCGTGACATGGGGAAACCGCCTGCGAGCGAGACTGGCGGAATGGACGCTCGTGACATGCGGAAACCGCCCGCGAGCGAGACTGGCGTTGCGCACGCTCGTGACAGGCGGAAACCGCCCGCGAGCGTCGAGCGAGAATGGCGTGGTGGACGCTCGTGACAGGCGGAAACCGCCTGCGAGCGAGAGTGGCGCGGTGGACGCTCGTGACAGGCGCAAACCGCCCGCGAGCGAGACTGGCGCGGTGGACGCTCGTGACATGCGGAAACCGCCCGCGAGCGAGACTGGCGCGGTGGACGCTCGTGACATGCGGAAACCGCCCGCGAGCGAGACTGGCGCGGTGGACGCTCGTGACATGCGGAAACCGCCCGCGAGCGAGACTGGCGCGGTGGACGCTCGTGACATGCGGAAACCGCCCGCGAGCGAGACTGGCGCGGTGGACGCTCGTGACATGCGGAAACCGCCCGCGAGCGAGACTGGCGCGGTGGACGCTCGTGACATGCGGAAATCGCCGCGAGCGAGACTGGCGCGGTGGACGCTCGTGACATGCGGAAACCGCCCGCGAGCGAGACTGGCGCGGTGGACGCTCGTGACATGCGGAAACCGCCTGCGAGCGAGACTGGCGCGGTGGACGCTCGTGACATGCGGAAACCGCCCGCGAGCGAGACTGGCGCGGTGGACGCTCGTGACATGCGGAAACCGCCCGCGAGCGAGACTGGCGCGGTGGACGCTCGTGACATGCGGAAACCGCCCGCGAGCGAGACTGGCGCGGTGGACGCTCGTGACATGCGGCAACCGCCCGCGAGCGAGACTGGCGCGGTGGACGCTCGTGACATGCGGAAACCGCCCGCGAGCGAGACTGGCGCGGCGGAGGCTCGTGACATGCGGAAACCGCCCGCGAGCGAGACTGGCGCGGTGGGCGCTCGTGACATGCGGAAACCGCCCGCGAGCGAGACTGGCGCGGTGGACGTTGGTGACATGCGGAAACCGTTCGCGAGCGAGACTGGCGCGGTGGACGCTCGTGACATGCGGAAACCGCCCGCGAGCGAGACTGGCGCGGCGGAGGCTCGTGTGACATGCGGAAACCGCCCGCGAGCGAGACTGGCGTGGTGGACGCTCGTGACATGTGGAAAACGCCCGCGAGCGAGACTGGCGCGGTGGACGCTCGTGACACGCGGTACCGCCCGCGAGCAAGACTGGACATGCGGAAACCGCTCGCGAGCGAGACTGGCGCGGTGGACGCTCGTGACAGGCGGAAACCGCCCGCGAGCGAGACTGGCGCGGTGGACGCTCGTGACATGCGGAAACCGCCCGCGAGCGAGACTGGCGCGGTGGACGCTCGCGACATGCGGAAACCGCCCGCGAGCGAGACTGGCGCGGTGGACGCTCGTGACATGCGGAAACCGCCCGCGAGCGAGACTGGCGCGGTGGACGCTCGTGACATGCGGAAACCGCCCGCGAGCGAGACTGGCGCGCTGGACGCTCGTGACAGGCGGAAACCGCCCGTTAGCGAGACTGGCGCGGTGGACGCTCGTGACATGCCGGCGAGCGAGACTGTGACACGCGGCAACCGCCACGTGCGCGGCTCCATGTGAACAGCCCGGCGCTCCAGGTACGCCATAATTGTCCTTTTTGCCTCACACCTGACCCGAACAAACAGCGCGGATGTGTTTCTAGGACGAACCCTCTCTTTCAGAAGCTGTAGCCTCTTGGGGTTCGCCCTCATTCCTTATTTGGAAGCAGCCTGGAAGCACGTTGACATGAATGCTGAGCACACTCGGCCCAAACAAAAGGGCGCATGAACATCCGAACAGCTGACCCCGGTCTGACTGTGTCTCAGACTTGTTTCGGACAGGTGTCAGACCCACCAAGTGACCGAGGCTTGTCCACACCGAGCCCCCCGCAAAAGCGCAGCGCCGGCCCCGTCTCCACACACCTGCGGCGAATCCACCCAACTTGCCATCCACACGCATCCAATTGACAACGTGCGCGGCCCTTTCCACAAAGTCACCAGTTGCAATTGGTTGCGAATTGGAAAAGTGGAGAAACTAACGAATCCAAGCAAGCTTACGAAGCAAGTTTGTGAAGGCCACGTGCAGGGCTCCATGTGAACAGCCCGGCGTTCCAGGTGCGCCAAGATTGTCCTTTTTGCCACAAATGGCGCCAATGTGTTTCTAGGACGAACCCTCTCTTCAGAGTCTGTGGCCTCTTGGGGTTCGCCCTACTTATTTGGAAGCAGCCTGGAAGCACGTTGACATGAATATGCTGAGCCACACTCGGCCCAAACAAAAGGGCGCATGAACATCCGAACAGCTGACCCCGGTCTACTCAGATCGTGTTGTAAAACAGTGTCTCAGACTTGTTTCAGATGGGTGTAGAGCGAGCTTATGCTTTGCTTCCAATTTGGGAGTGGTATGTGCGGATCCATTTTCGGATTTCTGCGATTGGTTCTTCATGATGAATCGGATGACTTCGTGCCTTCCATGTAGTGCGGGGCCTGTCATGTTTCACCCGTGCCTTTGCCTTTTTCTCTGTGCTTGGTCAGAGCACAGGCTGCTGGCTGCCAATCCGGCTTGAGTCGCGGTTGCTCCCCTTCTTCATCCGTTTTGGGGTTGATTTCCCAACTGTGAACAACTTAAATCTTGGTTTGCCTTCGGACCCTTGAGCCGGAAAACAACGGGATCCACATGCCATGGGGAGTGAGGCTGGTTTGCTTTTGGGTTCCCGGGCTCCTCTTGTGTGGGTGCCTGTTGGCATATTTCTGGGGAGTCCCATCCCAACATTCCACGAGACCAGGTCCGAAACGCTGCCAAAGCCCAAACCTTGGAGCACATATTCAGTGTGTCTGGCTTGCTCTTTGCCTCTAGCGCTTGGCAACAAAGTCGCCGTGGCACGACGCTGGTGGCCGGCCAAAGCATTCCAGTCTGCCCTTGTGGCGCGAAAAATAGGGGCTCGCCCCATCCAAGGCAGCTCGGCAGGTTGGAGCGCAAGCTAGATAAGTTGCAGCAGTGGATGTTCTGCAACACCGGCTTGAAATCTCTTGCATCTGCAGAGGCCCTTCAAACCCCACGCTTTCCGTTGCCTCTCATCTCTCCAGCTCCCACTGCCAAGACTTCACGGGTGTCTCGCCATTTGGCGGCCCGCTTAAACAAACTGAGGCAAGGTATGTCCTCGGCAAGCAGCTACATTTGACCCTGTGTCGCGCAAACGATAACTGGTGATGCTGGGAGCCATACCGAACCATGATTGCAAACCGTTCAAGGCATGGCTTCCACAGGACCAATCACTACACAAACTGCCAAGCCAAGCACAAAAACAGTACTGCACGCCTGCACCATTCTCAAGCCAAAAAAGAACGCGATACATGCCTGAAACGTGCCAACTCAATGCCGCCACGCGATAGCCTGGAGAATGGCAGGATGGCTTCGGCAGGAGCCGAGAAATGGCCAGCACAAGGAAAAGCCCGTGATAACCTAGAGCATCTAATAGAAATGTCCAAGAAGGCCGACGGAACATTGAATCAAGACGTGCTGCTCCTCTCTTGAAGCTCTGTTGAGCCTGCACCTTCGGCGAACAGGCGGTTGAAAGTAGATCTAGCAACCTGCAAGGCATGGCTAAATTCAGCTGCACGCAAGGCAGCAAGTCCGTGCGCACACCCGGGATCTAAGCATGCATGCCATTCAAAGCTGGATCTTTAAGGAGCATTCCCAGCATGCCCTAGGCAACTCTGCAGTGCTCTCTTCGGAGAGACGGGCCGGATCCATCTACCGAAAGAAGACATTTCACTTTAAACTTGCACTAAATCTCCTGCAGCTCAGCGACTCACACCCTGCTCACCCTCAGCGCAACACCGCGG